GGGCGGAAAGCTAGTAGTTTGATATGTAAGTTGAAAAAATAGTAGCTTTTTATTTATCAGTAATATCGGTGTACATAATACGTGCATAACTAGACTACATTTTTATAGCAAAATCTCATCTATTAAAGTTAAATAGCCGTGGTGTGGTTCTTCCGACAGATTCAGACATGATTATGATCCCAGTTACATAAGACGCCACAGTATCTACATTACTAAACACACAAAAATAAATTTTCTAATGAGTGACAACCCTAGATTAATGGAAGTTTTTGCGTGTCCTACTTCAGGGCTGTATTAATTAGAGCAAGCGATGTCATACAAAGGAATAACACGTCATTTGCCTCCGTTTAATCTGAATGTTTATTAAAGAGTTTTTATTTATAGTGCTAAATGACAAATATCTTTTAACGTAATAAACAGTGATGATGGTAGATTGTTACACAAATAAAATGTGTTCGTGCTTTCGTCTTTTTCAGCAAAATGACGTCCACACTGCTGGTCAAAGGCCTTCAAGAGATATTTACGAGGTAGAAAATGTATCATGAATTGTACCGTAGCTGGTTGCTAGCCGTCAAGAAAGATTAGGGTGTTTATGTTGGGGTGATTATGGGGGTAGGATTCAGCAGATAAGTGACAATGAATCACACCAGTTGTGAAGCTATTGACTATAGAAGTCTATAAGTCAGGGTAAAAGATATAGCAAGAACAACGGCTTATAATGTTCAGTAGTGGACGCAACGTAAGCTCTTTAGCGAGACGACGACTCAAGATGGCCGGTAGCCATTGGTAGCAGTGATGATGATGCAGATATTTTACAGTAATTTAAAAAGCTTTGAATCTGTAAAATTGGTTCTAAATTAGAAATGGTCACAAAAATACTGGCAGAAAAAAAAGATGCGAATAAAAAAAACATACGCAAATGAATTGCAAAAAAATTGGTTTGAAATTAGAAATGGTCACAAAAATACTGGCCGAAAATAAAAAGTTTCGACAAACATCACTTGCAAAGTGTTGTACTTTATGGCGATGCGTAACGCTCCTCTCGAGCTATCTCGATTCTCAAAACAATCGAATACTGTGTATCGATGCATAAAGAGGTGTCGGCTCCGGATCTTGCCACAGCCTCGTTAGAGATTCTAGGTCGTTGCAATAGTTAATTAGCTAGATAAGTGCTGTATTAATTGTACGCCATTGGAGCTGTTATCGCGCATCTCGGGCACTTCGAGTAGGACTTGAACAAAAGGAGATTTAGCCCTACTTATGGCAAATCAAGTTTAACATTGTGGTATCTTATTTGGTTGTAATAGAAGCTATTATTCAACAAAAATGTATAGTCTGACGTGCCTTTGAGTGTACTTTAGTACCTGTTGTTTTGTTACTCTAAATTCGATTGGTAACAACTCTTTGAAAAAAAAAATCTGTGAATGCTCTTGTAAGGATCTTTTCAGTCATCAGACCACAGACAGTGGTGACTGAGTTTGTTGCGGCGCTTCTTCTCAGCACTTGCCAAATGTTGGTCTCGAAGCGCTGGTAGGGTAAAAAGATTATGAGACATGTAGAGGCTCCTTAAGAGCAAAATGAGAATTTGTAAGAACTATTTATTAGTCTAAACAAATAAAGACATTTTGACTTTGACTTTGACTTTGACATCATCATCAGGTGATTAAGTCTCCACTGCCTGCAGGAGCACGTCTATATCTAATTTACAAGAGGAAAATTGAGGATTCACTATACTCCATTCGCTGGCCAGATGGATAGGGGACATCCATGGGAAAAATGGAAGTGTTTGCTTGCTAAGAACTCTTTTGAGTTCACCAGCAGTTTTTACTGCTGGTCAGATTTTTATTGTATCAACATAGTCCAATAGCACATCAAGTCCCTAAAAATGTAGGGCACATTTTAATGTAGAACTTAAGATATGGATCCCCTAAACTGGAAGCAGTTTAATATCAATAAGAGGTCTAGCTTGTTATAACTGGAAATCGATTAAATCTCATACAAAGTTGCTGGTCAATCAATACAGATATGGAAGTGATAAATTAATTACACCAAGTTATTTTATAAAGTAAGTAATTAAAATAGGTAAGATGTTGTTTACTACAATTCATCGCGAACATTCTTAATTATTTATTCATTAAAATTGTGCTACAAATACTTGCATAAGCGTAATCTTTGTTAAAATTCTTCTTCTGCAATTAACAGATAAGTTTTTAATTACTTCAGTGCATACGAGTATGTGGATAAATAAATAAAGTGTTTCATTTAGTTACTTTTGCAGTATTAATTGAATTTATGTAGCAAATGGCTACGACGTCATTTATATCATTAAAAAACTCGAAGAGCTTATTTATGTATTTGTTTGAAAATATGTAGAGTCAAAACCTTAACTTATTAATACCGATTTAAAACCACTAATAACCCAAAAAATCTTAAGGAACTAAAGATAACTGCGTATTTACTCACTCTATGACATCTTATTTTGTGATATTAGGACAGGAGCAAACTTACCTGTAATAAAAAATAATTTAGTATGAAATAAACCCAGAAGTTTTTATTCATAATGCTTAATTCGAACAAAATCTATAGGTATGTGAAATGTAAATAAAATGGATTATACACTTGTTTCATAATTATTTTATCTGTGCAAAAAAATGGCGCGCTGTCAAAAGCTCCAACCGTTCCGGATTCGAAAATTTGAAACGTTCGGAAACGCACCAACGCTTCTCGATTCGGATACGGTGTATCGTTGCGAAAATGGAACGGATATTGCTTGTTCCTCTGGCCGGCCATTCTGATCGAAATTTGAATTTTGCCGGTTAACTGGGCCCATCCGGCACAGTTACGGTTATATGCTTTGTTTCTATTGGGCAAGTTTCCGAGGATTGGGTTGGGCGCAGGTGTTAAATAGGTGCGATAACAGATAAGTGGGGTTTAGAACGGATTATACTGTTTAAAAAATACCTACACGAGACCTTATCTCAATATAACGTGAAAATCGAAAATATGTATAGAAAGCTTTCAGTGAGGCGTAACTTATAGAAAATGAACTACAACAACTAGAAACATTACGCGAGTTTTATTTTCTATATTAAGAGGGATTATGCTTTTAAACTGTCATGATAGTATTTAAATAGTTGGGTAAAAAACTTTGTGACCGCGGTTTAAATACTCTGACATCTGAAGTCCTTGTAATAGGAGGGGCATTGCAACAAAAATGTGCACAATAATCTGTGATACTTTACATGCACAGACTATAAAACTCTTGGCGATTTCCCTCTAACCCGAGTAAACAAACAATAAGCACTGGAATTAAAAGCGTATCAGGCGCGCGGTGGAGCGAAGCGCGACTCTTACATGACCCTGCACGGTACGCTAGCTGTCACATGGATCTTGCGTTTAGCTTCTTTACATATTATAAACCTCTTTTATGTGTCATTTTGTACTTTTAGCTAAAAAGAAAAATAGTGTCAGGGTGTTTATTTAATGAAGGTCACGCAGAACCGTTAATTGTAGAAAGCCTTGGGGAGGCCTTTGTCCAGCAGTGGACGTCATTTGGCTGAAACGAACGAACGAACGAAGTAAAAGAAAATATAGGAGACAGAGACAATAACACCCGTATACCCTATATTTTCTGCGGGTCACCTAGGGAGCATTTTTATGTTTTCGTATTCTATGTACTATGAAAAACTAGGTATTTTCCAGTCAGCCAATTTTAGAAATTTTAGATTTGTCGATGTTGATCTAACTCTCCCATTTTTACCACGAAATCGAGTCACATTTTTGTAATTTTCAACCATCGAAAGTATATTATTTTGATTTTTCGTCGCCTATTTCAGATGTTCCACGTCGGTCTCACCTCGAGGCGGTCCCGTGTACCTAACCGTCGTCACGGGTCGCGTACTCGCAATTAACACGCTATGTTTAATCAAGCGTTGCTTGTTTGGGATACCTACATAATTAATTGCCATTCCTGATTTGTTTTTGTTATCCTGTTAGTTTTGTTATTTTATTTTACAGCTCTTTGTTTTCTTACGTCTGATTTTCACTTATGGTGCAGGAAACTAGGCAATGATACAGCGTCACGTTGATGGAGCATTTCAAGGGAACATTGGAGCCGATGACGCTTCGAATGTTCATTAACTTTTGTTGTTTTTATTCATTAACGTTGGGCGAACGTCCAGTACGCGCTGATTTTCATGTTTTTCTTGAGCATAACGTACATCTGTCAATATCCTCGGAAAGTGTTCTTGATCTTGACCGGGATATTTCCACATGCACTATTTGAGCTGATGTTTTGTTTTCTGAATCGAACGTTGCTCATTTATTTTCTTGAGCGTATCATACCATTAAGAGTGTCATATTCGGAGAGTCTTTATCCCAGCATCACACAGCTGTTGTTCATTTGTTTTCTTGGGCTTAGTGTCCACGAGGAGGATAGGTACAGCATTATTCGAAGCATTTGACCTAATGCTCAATTGCTTTTTGAGCGAACGTCATTGCAGGCTGATGTTAATTTGATTTTTTAGGCGAATTTGAAATTATGAAAACAAATGAAGTAAGTGTCCATTATGAGTTGATGTTCATTTGTTTTCATCGGAGCGTCTTCACTCCTCGTTCCAGCTTGACCCGTCACGTTTCCACACGCTCAATCTGAACGCAGGGCGTTCCCGTGTAACTGTCGTCACGGGTCGCCAGCTTGAAATTAGCGCGCTAAGTTTAATCACAATCAAGAGTTCTAGACTAGAGTGATCGTCCATTAGCTGCTATTCTCGGAGCGTCTTTTTTCCTGTTTGACACGTCTTTACACAACTGATGTTCAGTTGTTTTCTTGGGCTTAGTGTCCACGAGGAGGATAGGTACAGCATTATTCGAAGCATTTGACCTAATGCTCAATTGTTTTTTGAGCGAACGTCATTGCAGGCTGATGTTCATTAGATTTTTTTAGGCGAACATTCTCAAAGGGTTGATTTTCATTTGTTTTCTTGCTTAGGTAGAGTCCATTACCGGTTGATGCTCATTTGTTTTCTTCGAAGAATCTTCACTTTTTCCAGCTTGACCCAACACGTTTCCACACGTCTCCGATAACTGTCGTCACGGGTCGCCTGCTCGGCTGCTTGGAATACTATTCGGGATACTTTCATTTGTTTTTTCAGCGTAACTTCTACTACGGGTGCTACCATAGGAACGTCTTTCTTTGTCTCCAAGACCTTCCACACGGCTGATAATTTTCTTCGAAGAATCTTCGCTAGTCCTTTGTTTTCTTGAACGAACGTAATGTACGCGTTCATCTTCATTTGTTTTGCTGAGCAAACGTCCATTACGGGTTGATTTTCATTTGTTTTTTTCAGCGTACCAGGTGCTACCTTCGGAGCGTCTTCGTCTACTTTCTTCAAGTGCTTCCATACGTTGTTGCTAGCTGATGTTCATGTGATGGAGATATATTTTTCTTTGAAGAATCTTCGCTAGTCCTATCTTGACCCAACACGTCTCCACACGCTCAATCTCGGCAGGGCGCTCCCGCGTAACTGTAGTCACGGGTCGCCTACCCGCAATTAGCGCGCTCGCTCGCGTGTGACGGCGAGCACCAGACGTGACCCCGCCGAAACTTGAACTCGGGACTGATGGTACAGTTTATGTCCAAGTAACTTTAGAATCTTATACATAATTTAGCTCCGAGAAAAATGTCCCGCGGGTTTGTTAAAAACATTTGCTACAGCCTTGTCCTGGTCGCTGGTCTAGATAGTTCAGACTTCTAGGTTGCGGATTAGGTGAGCTCGCTAGCGACTGCGTAAAAAAATGTCATATTGTGCAGCACCCATAGCGGCTACTTTCAAGAAATAAAATCTTCATTGATTTTTTTAACATACTCGCTACTTAGCGAGCACACCTTTTTTTTTTTTTTTTTACGGGGACACCTAACGTAAACTCATGGCAAGCACACTGATGTATTTGGTATGTCATCAGAAATCTCCATTGATGCGAGCACAATATGGCGAATGTCAGAGCGACACGAGTGGCTTTGATAACTTTCGTTTAATAGTCAATTTTATTAGACTTGACTCTACTCTGAACTAGAGAAGTGACGTTTATTGAAAGCTCTTTACAAACAATACTAGACCAGTAAATTTCCCGGAATATCCAATAAAGTATGTCGTCAGGAATCTCCATTGATGCGAGCACAATATGGCGAAGGTCGAAGAGCGACACGCGTGCTTTTGAAAACTTTCGTTTAATAGTTTCAATTAGACTTATTGATAAAATGGCAGTAAGTAGAGAAGTGACGTTTTTGAAAACTCTTTACAAACAAACTAGACCAGTAAATTTCCCGGAATATCCAATAAAGTATGTCGTCAGGAATCTCCATTGATGCGAGCACAATATGGCGAAGGTCAGAGCGACACGCGTGGCTTCGGCCGCGCCTGTATACAGGGTGATCGGTTATGTGGTTTATGGTTGTGGGTAAGACAGTATAGAACTGGGTTGTGGAGTTACTGTGCTTGGAAAATTCTGTTTTTAGTCGAAAATAACCGCCTCTGTGGTCTAGTGGTAAGACCACCTGCTTCAGACGCAGAGGTCACGGGTTCGATTCCCGGTGGGGGCAGATTTTTCTGTTCGGTTTGGTTGGTGGTAGGACTTGTTCTAAGTCCGCCTGGCTAGCTACCACCATCTTACCTAAGTCTGTCGCCATAATAACAATGTTAACAGCATTGTTATGTTCCGGCAGTTAGAGGTAAGATAGCCAGTTCCTCCGTGGTTGAGGATTCCGGGTGAAGCTCGCTTCCACCTACCGCCTGATCATCACTTACCATCAGGTGAGATACAGGCCAAGAGCTTCCTCGTTGTGGATAAAAAAAATGAGTAAGTAAATTGTTACTTTCACTGTTAAATTCTTAAACTCCTTCGATTTCGAATTTCTATGTTCATCTGATGAAATTCGTTGTGATGACAGTTTAACATTCCCCCGGGACAAACTTGACCTTCACTGGTTGGATTTTTATTAGCGGTCAAGCTGTAAATCCTGGCTACACAGGAGTTGCAGTGGTCGTGGTGCACAACAAATTAGTTATGCAAAAAGTTGTGTTTGTCGAAATCTCTGGATGTTACTCCCTGATTATTCGTCTTCTTTTCGTCTTGGTGGAAACCTGGCTTAATAGTCTTGTAATTTTATAAATGGGCCCATTTAACTAGCTTAACCAATGCCTCCGCCCTGTAGATTTTAAACTAATAGCTCTACGTGTGAAATCAACCGCGAAGCCGGGGCCACGTAAATGCGCCGAGCGATATCACCCGGCAACCCGACATTACCTTAACTTATTCAATTTTACTATAATATCATTGTGTTTTACATTAATAAGCTTTATTTATCTTTTATTTATTGTTGGACTAGCTTTCTGCCCGCAGCTTCGCCCGCATGGAATTTTGTCTGTCACGGAAAAACTTTATCGCGCGCGTCCATGTTTCAAAAACCGGGATAAAAACTATCCTATGTCCTTTTCCGGGACTCAAACTATCTCTATGCCAAATTTCATCAAAATCAATTCAGTGGTTTAGGTGTGAAAGCAAGACAGACAGACAGAGTTACTTTCGCATTTATAATGTACTAGCTGACCCGGCGAACTTTGTTCCGCCTTAAATAAGGCAATAAATAAGCAGACTTTTTTTTATTTCGAACGGGTAAAAGTATCCTATGTCCTTCTCCTGGCTCTAAACTACCTCCCTGACAATTTTCAGCTAAATCGGTTCAGCCGTTCTTGAGTTATAAGTGGAGTAACTAACACGACTTTCTTTTATATATATAGATTAGTATAGATAACTAGATCTGATAGATAGAGACACTTTATTGTACACCACACAAAACCAGAAAGAAAATAAATACACACCAAAGAGAAGACTCAATTTAACTAGCTTTTGCTCGTGGCTTCGCAATCTCTTTAAAACTAGGTATCTCATGTGTCTTACTTGGTACCAAATTGCATTAAAATTAGTTAAGAGTTTTAGCTTAAAAGTCACAGGCAGATTGAAACTTGAGAATTTATAGTAATATTGTTGGCAAAATTGGCCTTATTATAAATTACTTAGTACTTAAGTTTATGAATAATAAGTACCTACCCTAGAATAACTATGTGTTTTTGGGTTAGGTGTACGTCTTACAAGACGTAGCACTTAATTTGACACAGGTTGCTGTCATCCTAGCATACAAATACTTTGTCAAATCATCAATACATATAAATACGATAGGAAACGCTCGTTCATTTCAACTACGTGGGTGTAGGACATGATTTCTATTAAAAGAAAACCGAAATTAATACCATAACTTGCTCGTCAGTGCTCAAAAATAAAGGTCAACTTACAATATCTTTAATCCGAGTCATACGTCACAAATCCATAGTGAATGAAACGAACCGGTACTTCATACAAATTTACTATTCACCCTGAACAACAAACACTATTGTAATACACCTTATTGCCTTCAAATTACAGCTCAACATCTGATTGTATTCGTACACCAAGTGCAAAAGAATGTTGTCGAAAAATAATTGTATAGCACAACACTAAATTCGGTTCACTCAAAAATTACCTTTATTGCTTGTAAATAAGGACGTTAGGCGAACTTTAGTGGTGTGTATCAGTCGATCACGTATCGATAATATGATAAATGATTCGGTGTCAAAACAGAACGGATTGTATTACGGTAATGATAAAAAAAGTTGTTTGTAAAAGTCGTACGTAGTTCATTCACCATGCCATGACGGAACTGGTCGATGGTAAAAAATGTGTTAATCTCATATGGAGTTAATCTGATGGCGATCTGAAACTGGGAGGTTGGTTAAGAATTAAGATCCGTGCAAATGGTATTTCGGGTCTTAAGTGTCAAAGTAATCCGTTACACACACTATTTTTAACTCATAAAATTAAATTAGAACATTATAAGCAGATCGTTTATAATATTGAAAAATTTTAACATGAAAGTTAAAATTTTTCATTGGATCTCAACACCAGAGGACAAGTTTTAAAAAGCCTAGGGACTTTATTTGCCTCAGGTATAAAGGGTTAACTTTAACGATATTTTCAAAAAATCCTAACTCTATAAATTATTAGACATGGGGAGGATCATTTTCAGCATGGGAATAATGCATAGAGGCTATGTCAAATACGTCTTAAAATGAAGTTGATAAACATTTATTTAGGTGACGTCACCATATTTAATCAAATGCATTATTAAGTACTTTGGAAAAAAAACATTTCTCAATTGTTTCATTTTCTACCATAAAAATAGATTTTGCCAAGTACGAGTATATCGCCATTAATGAAAACCAAAAACTCTTGTCAACGCTCAGTGACTTTTAGTGTAAAAAAACTTCATTCACAAAACTACCTCTTTGTATGTAATGTTAAAAATAATTTGTCCGTTGTACCAATTTCCGAACGATTATACTGTTGAAGAAACCACGAATCACGTTCAGTGGGCGGCGAGAACACCGTGTCTTATAGCGTTAAGAAATACCTAAGCAGTAAGCTGGGGTACAGGCGGGGGCAGAAGTCTTTAGGAGTATTGGACCTCTTAGAGAAAAAATAAAGAAAGAATATGTATAAATTTTGGACAGTAATAAGGTAGGGATAGTAATAAATCTTAAAAAAACAAAAATAATTATTGATTCAAATGCCGCGGTTTAAAAAACCTACGAAGTTGGTTACTCGCAGTCTCAAGCGACTATCTACGAGGTAGTTTTGTAGTCTAGTTTGCAGAGTATCCCTTATTCCTCAGACATCAGTTATTTACATTTGAGATGCAAAACATAATATTTAAAAGAATTTCAAACTCGACGTGTTGTTAAAACCAGCTAAAAACCAGCTTCTCGGCATGACGTTTGTGTCATGTCGCGATTTTTGCTGAGCGGGCGCCTATTCAGCATAATTGTTTTTATTTATTTTTTATGTTTACTCTTGCTTTGTATACCATAATATAATGTGCTTTGTATACCATAAAGACATTCATATTCTTATTCTTAATAGGGTTGTTAAAATACCCACTAAATACCTCGATTCGACTTTACATCCTTTTGTTTTTGGAGATCCGTCTAATTTAATTAAATTCCTTGACACTTCTATACCTGCCAGTACATCCTCATGAACAAAAAACAGTTTAACATATTCAATTTATCGGCGCTGTCCGCCCCGGCCGTCTGCCGGAATGGCGACAAACCAGTAACGGTGATCGATTTGTATAGATGCACCGGGTTCGAATACCGGGTCGAGCATTTTTTACTGCGGCAAAGCTAGAGTAGGTTTCTGCAAGTACTTATTATTATTCTGTGGTTTCTGTCACAAGAAGGTATAGAGCTAGAGACGTCAATCAAAAACCATTTAGTTAATTAGTTAACATATTGCTACAAGTCATAAATAATGGCTTTCATT